TAGTTGAGATTAAGACAAATCCAACGATCTATAATACTATGATCTTCACGTGACTTTAATTACGACAAATGTAACCTCTTTTATAAATAAGCGTGAATAATGAAACTATAATAGAAACTTTAATAATGAAATATTTCTTGTAGTAAATGTTCAAAATTATTTTTAGTGACTTTTAAACATCTGTTAATTCAATTCTTGAAACACAAATTATGAAAACTTTCTCTTTGATAAAGCTTTATAGAAAAACATCATATCAAAATAACGTGATACTTATCGAGGGAACCATAATATGAATATACTTGGCTACGTTTCATTAAAGAGAAAATTTTCATAATTTTTTTTTCTATAATTGAATTAACAAATGTTTAAAAGTCACAAAAATTATTTTGAACAAGTATTATTATGAATGTTCCATTATCTATTGTAGTTTTATGTCTATTTCTAAAAAAAAGTTTGAATTTGTCGTACTTAAAGTCACGTAAAGGTATTATAGATCGTCGGATTTGTTTTGATCTTAACTATTACGGTAATAGTAATAAAAATATGTAGTCTTGTTTAAACAAACATTGATGATCTTAAAATCTTGAAATACTAAGTTAAAAAAAAAAGAAAATTCCAGAACATATATCCTTTTGAACCAAACAACTTATTTTTCAAACATTTTTGCGTATTATTAACAAAAATATCGCTTTATAAAGAAACGTGAATAGAAAAAAACAAAAATGAGTACACGGTTTTCTTTCTTACATATTTTATTAGACAGTTTGTTGTGACAGTTTTGCTCAATTATTTAAAGGATTCTGTGACCTCACGAGTGTTCTATCTGCAATTTATTATTATTTTACTGAAGAAGATCCGAATCAATAAACGGAAACGTCTATTGATTTAATAAAGATTATTTCTCATACACGATCATCTTGTATTTTACTGCCCACATCGACCTTTTGATTACTTCCTTTTATTTTATCATTATTATTAATGTAAATATAATTTTGTTTGTGAATAACAAAAGAAATATAAATTTATAAGTTTTTCACAAATTCGTGAAATGCACAGAATTGTTTCCATATTCTGTCAGAATATAAAAAATAAACTGTCGAAATAACGACAAAACAACAAAATAAACTGATATTACATTTTCCATTTACACAATTAAACAATTAAGTAATCACACCATTACTTATACGTTTATGTGTGTTTAAAACTTCATTTAATTAAATACGTTGAGGTGTTTCATTTGACGTTTCCGTTGGCTCATACTTTCCTAACACTGAGATCACTGTGTTGTTTTCTACTTGCAATTCCACTGGCACATTGCCGTTATTAAATCGTGATACTTTAGGCGGCTTTGCTTACGCGCCATCCAAATGAACGACTGCGAAAGATATTTTAATAAACAACTATATACGAAACAAAGAATATGAGAATACACACAAATATACCAATATCAAACTATGAGAATATAAGAATATAAGTATATCAATATACCAACAGAACGAATATGAAAAACTATATAATTTAATTTATAAAATCTACGTGATTATCGTACGTGCAGAAGGTTTTTCAACGTTTTATTTTACTACAACAATTTAAAATGTTTGATGCATTTTTTAGCACCAACGTTTAACATATAAATAAGTTCATGTAAATAATACTAATGGAATCTCCGTTACGTGAAAATATACATGTGAATATATATAAACTAACTTACAAACTTACATTGAATTTTATGTTCCATATCGTC